CACTACTATCCTCAGACTCTCAGTGGTTAATTATACCCATATATCATTTTACAAGACAATAAAAATACAGTGAAGTACATTCAAATATCCATAATATAATTTTAAAATAATACAATACAATAATATAATATAATAAGATAAAATAAAATAAAATAAAATAAAATAAAGCATCAATAAGAACAATAATAAACCAATGGTGTCATTTCATCCTCCACAGTTTCCCCTAAACAATTCAGTTTTTAAAAACTTATGGAAAGCCAAGAATGAAGGAGGCAAGTTTGATTTCCACCATAAACTCAAATAAATATGCAGTAAAAATATGGACTCATTAACTACAGGCTTTAAAATGTTTTAAATAATATTGCATAAAAACAAAATTTCAAAACTATTTTTTTCTTTAAACGTTTTCAGTACAGTTCTAGTTTTTAACAAAATTCTCAATTTATACTATATAGACTTGGGAGCCTTCAGTCTTCTTGGCTGGGAATTCTGGGAGCTGTTGTCCCAACATACTTGCAGGCTGCTATGATGGAGAAAGCTGGTTCAGAAAATGGAGACTTGTAAATCAAGGTTCAGTTGAGTTGTTTGCAGCCTTTGCAAGGATCCAAGGGAGACTTCTACATATAGATACACATATCTTCCCCAAATATACTGTTCAAGAACATAGGAACGGTGATCAGCCCAGATCTTACATTCTTAGCTATCATGTTTCAGCTTTTAAAAATGAACTACCTGTAAGGCTCCAATTTATCTTAGTTAACCAATTCAGAAAATAGAAGGAATGAACTGCAGTCCAATTTTTTTTGCCTTTTTTAGAGAAATAGGAATTCTAAAAGCACCATTCCATTTTAAAAGCCCTCTATAAATATATAATAACAATTACAACAATCTGTAAAGTAAGTGTAACAAAACATTCAGCTAGTGTTTACTTTCAGTTCTAACACCTGCATTTTTCTACTTCCCCTTTGTGCTCATTGATGGAATTGTCTGGTTGAGTATTCTTGTGATTCCTGTGTGTGCTACTCGATCTGTAAAGAAAAATGAAATGGGGGGAGGGAGAGAATGGAATTTAAAATATTGAATCCTCAGTAGCATATCTGCTGTTATCTCTAGCAAGTCCACTTGGACAATATGGGCCAATATTTTATCTGTATTCATATTATCTATAAACAACCACTTCCTTTTATGGCTTTTATCCTAATCCCTTTCAGAGACTTAACAGCAGAAAGACCGATGGTCTGGAAGACATGTCACTGTTTTTT